AAAAAAAAAAAAAAAAAGGAAACAGAACCTCAGAGATTTGTGAGACTATAACAAAAGATCTACCATTTGTGTAAGCAGAGTCCATAAAAAGAGAAGAGAAACAGAGAGAAATTTTAAGTATTGGAAGAAATACTAGCTAGTGACTAAAAATGTTCCAAATTTGGCAAGAGACTACACATTCAGTAAGCTGAGTAAACCCCAAACAGGGAAAATCCAAACAAATCCACACCAAGACACAGTATAATCAAACTTCAGAAAACTAAGGAGAAAGAAAAGTTGTTTTTTGTTTTTTGTTTTTTTTTTTTCAAAAAACAGCAAAGAAAAAAAGTGACATCTTACCTATACGGGGAATGAACAATTCAGAAGACAGCAGATTTCTCACAAGAAACCAGAGAGAGCCCAGAAGAAATGGCACGTTTTTCAAGAGAGGAACAAAAAGAACTATGAGTCCTGAATTCTATACTTGGCAAAATTATCTTTCAGGAATGAAAGGAAAAAAAGGCATTCTGAGATGAAGAAACTATGAGAATTTGTCATCAGCATACCTACCCTAAAAAAATGGCTAAAAAAAGTTCTTGAAAGAGAAAGGAAATGATAAAAGAGGAATCTTAGAAGATCAGAAAGCCAGAAAGAACCATAGAAAGAGCAAATATACAGGTAAACACAATAGACTTTCCTTCTCCTTTTGTGTTTTCTCAATTATGTTCAACAATCGGGGCCAAAAATATAACACTGCCTGAGAATGTATAGGAAATATCAAAGACAATCAAAAACACAGAAAGGTAAAGAGACTTAAAAGGAGGTAAGAGTTCTACACTTCGTTTGAACTAGTAAAATTTCAACACAATAGATCTTGTGGTGATGGAATAATTCTTTTTCTTTATTGCAGTGGTAATTACAGGAATCTACACAAGTGAAATAGCATAGAACTATATGCACGCATTCTACCGACATTAATTTATTGGTTTTAATATATTATCCTATAGTTACACAAGACGTAACAATTGAGAGAAACTGAGTGAAGAGTACACAGGACATTGCTGTTCTCGTTTTTCAAATTAAAAAAATAAAAACTTGGCTAGGCATGGTGGCTCACGCCTGTAATCCCAGCACTTTGGGAGGCCAAGGCGGGCAGATCACGAGGTCAAGAGATTGAGACCATCCTGACCAATGTGGTGAAACCCGGTCTCTACTAAAACATACAAAAATTGGCTGGGCATGGTGGTGCGCACCTGTAGTCCCAGCTACTTGGGAGGCTGAGGCAGGAGAATTGCTTGAACCCAGGAGGCAGAGGTTGCAGTGAACCAAGATCATGGCACTGCACTCCAGCCTGGTGCCTGATGACAGAGTGAGACTCTGTCTCAAAAAAAATAAAATAAAATAAATAAAATCTTTGAGAGAAGGATGGGTAAGCATTAAGACTCAGACACCATTATTCCATCCTGAAGCTCAGTTACCAAGAAAAAGATTTTTTTCTCTTCATGGCACCATCTTTCTCTGGTGGCACCCTTCCAAGGAAGAATACAGTACTTGAAAAGAATTTTTAAAGCCTATCTAGATTTGGCATACAAATCCATTCCTTCAGTAAAACATCAAGAGATCAGTTAAAACAACAACAACAACAACAAAAAAAAACTTATGGGCTGTAAGGGTTGTGCTTATGTGGAAAAGAGATGGGATGGGGGGTTGTTTAGTGACTATGGTTCAGAAGCAAAATTTGCCTGTTTACAAAGCTAGTTTAAATTTCTGATTAATTCATCCTTTTTGCCAATTTTTTTTCTGGACTAATTTTCACATTTTGGAATTCAAAGCATCTTTGTCACTGGAAAATTTTTGAAAAACAGCCACTCTGGAGGAAATCTATCACTATCAATCCATTGAAAAACTTCACTGCACTCCTATCACTCACAGGCTTGGTAAGCTAAAGGGTATGGAGATAGAACACATTTGGATGCAAAATACTCCTTACTGCCAAGTGCTCACAGTCTTGGGAAAGAGGAATGTAACCACAAAAGATAGCAGCAGTCACCACAAATGGATTCACAGAAGACAGACTGATGTCTCCTCTCAACCCATCTTTTTAGAATACATGCCACACAGAAAGTAAGCTAAGGATTGCACTGAAAACTGGAAATTTTATTCTCTTTCCCTAGACAGCATATTTTGAGTTTATGTTGATCATCACTGTGTCCCTAGCACCTGACAGGGAAAACACTCAATGCTTCTTTGTTCAATCAATGAATGAGTAAGTGAATGAAAGAAAAAAGGTGAAAGGGGTACACGAAGGGAAAAGCATACTGGAACCCTGAAGACTAAGGTGACCTGTGAGAAATTTGTAATGGATAAAGGACATTTAATTTCAATGACGTCTAATATTCAATTCTAAATTATTTTTACATAAGCACAAAATGACTCCCTCCCATTTGCTCTCAGAATTAGACAAAACCTGTCACATCAACCAATACCTTATGTGAGTAACAAGGAAAGAGAGCCGAGTTCCATGTCTAGATCATTAAGAAATAATGAGAAAAAAGATACATGAAGGTTAAGCAGAAGCAAAAAGAGCCAGAGGTCATTTATACGATGACCTGGGAGTACACAAATCTCGAGGAGGGCAATGGACCTCCTTCTTTCTTACAGGATACCGGATAATTTGTTTAAGCCTACTTTACTTAAATCTAAAAGGTCTAAGAGACTTCACTTCACTTTTTGGTCCAATAGTCCGTGTATTTTTTGTTTAAGACAATAGGACCAAGAGATAGTTAAGGGAGAAGAAAAGGAAAGCAAAGAAATATAAACTTTTAGAAAATAAAGTTGGTATTCCCACTCCTAAATAGGCTCACAAAAGAATTAAAAAACGAATCGCTATGTATACAAGTGCTCATCATAGACAATTATTACAAATATGTGCCCATCAACAAATAAATAAACTGTTGCATATACTGTGAAAATTGATTACATGAATTGGAGTTATTGTCATACTCAATTCAGTTAAATCAAGAGATCAGGAGCAGAAAAGAGAAGCACATGGGGCACAAATGCCTGTCCAGGTATTATCCTGCAAACCAGCTGCCAAAATAACCAAATGCCATAAACTTAAAGAATAGCTTTACCTAGTAGCTGCTGTAACAAAATGCCATGGCTCTAAAACTAGTTTAACCTACTGCTATCACACACCAATTAGATCTTGCCAGCCCCTGGAAACTTTCCTATTGCCAATGAGTGTTCTTTCAAAGCCATATGTAACATTTCTCTTTCTGATAAAATCCCCAACCTTTCTTTGTTCTTTGGACATACCAAAGACTACGCTGGTCTGTGTATACGCCTCAAATTGCAATTCTTTTTTTCAAATAAATTGTGTAGAAAAAGAAGAAAATAAAGTTATAATTTATATCTAGAAAAAGGAGGCGACAAATAAGAAAACTCTAAAGGCAGTAAAGTAACCAATGAGTAATCTATGATTTATGGTGATTTTTACCTCATTTTGTCTGGTTTGGCAATCGTATAATCCAAAGACGACATTTCCCTTATCATCCTAAAAAAAATTAACCAGATGTTTATTAAATGTCATTGTTTAGGAAGTTAGAATGTTACTGGTTTCCAAACTAACCTGCAATAACTCAATCTTAGCAGTAAGCAGTCTAAAAGATGTTTTCTGTACCTGTCAGAGGGGGATTGAATCCGATTCTTTGGGCTCAAAGAATGAAACAGATAAAAACACCATAGAGCTCAGTGAGTTTGGGGAACTGTTTAGTAGGACTGAGCATGGTGAAGGAGTAAATCTTTATATACTTCCATTTATGTCTCTGAAAATATACACATGATAGATAATAGTGATGCCTAGGACAAGTTCATAATGCTCTTATAAATAAAACACAGTGACTTACACAATTCCTTAAAGGTAACATTCTAAGACACAACTTACAGTAATTATTTTTACTATAAAGAAGTACAGCGATATAACTGTGCAAAGCAAACTGGCTGTTTGAATTATTCATGTGTACTTACTAAAGTTAAATTTTTATTAGAACATTGACATTGAAAACACACTGCTAAATAACAATGCTACATGTGCCTGTAGTCCTAGCAACTGGGGAGGTTGAGGCAGGAGCTCAAGGAACCCGCTTGAGCCCAGGAGGTTGAGACTGCAGTGAGCTATGACTGTGCCACTACGCCCCAGCCTGGGTGACAGAGCAAGACCCTGTTTCTAAAAACAAAATAATAATAATGCTTCAGAAGTCCTAACATATCTACATCTGAAGAGAGTAATCATATTTAAAATTTTCTCCAAGGATAAAATTTTAACATACTAATTAGGTTTAAACATCTTGTACTTGGTATATTTTGTCTAGAAAATGAAATTGTTCATTGATTCAAAAACTTTGAGTATTATGTCAGATGTGCTCATTTAGTTTTATTTAAAAATGAAGCAACATTTAATAATACTAAATCTCTTTCTTTTTTTTTCTTTTTTTAACAGGATCTCACTCTGTCACCCAGGCTGGATGCAGTGCAGTGGTACAATCTTGGATCGCTACAACCGCCACCTCCTGGGTTCAAGTGATTCTTGTGTCTCAGCTTCCCAAGTAGCGGGATCACCATTCCCAGCTCATTTTTGTATTTTTTGGTAGAAATGGGGTTTTGGAAAGGCCAGTCTTTAACTCGTGAACTCAAATGATCTGCCCGCTTCAGTCTTCCAAATTGTTAGGATTACAGTTGTGAGCTATCATGCCCAGCCTAATACTACCAAATTTCAACCACTTTATTCAATCTCACACAAAGTCATATGTTAAGATTAAATGCCAATAAGTTTATTCATTACCCCTCAATAAGATACAGTATAGAATTCCATAAAAAGAGAAAATAAATGATTAAAAACAGTAAATTTACATTTTATCACAATAAAAAATACAGACATACCTTATAGGTATATATGACATTTCCATTTCTTTCAATGTTTAATACACGTAAGCTCTCATAATCGTTTTCTAAAACATCTGAAATGGTAACAGTAGGTTAATAGCAGAAGATGGTTAGAAACATATTTAACCAATATATTAGTGAAGAAGCCAAATATATACTAATAATTCTATTATATAAAATTTAAAAACAGGCAAAACTAATGTCTTTCATTAGAAGCACAAACAGTAGTGACCTTTAAGGAAGGGGAAAGCCATAGTGATTGAGAAGTATCTCAAGTGAGCCTTCTTAGGTGTTGGTAAAGTTAAATGTCTTAGGTATACCAATAAACTCTGTAACAACGCACGGAGATGTACTCTTTTCTGTGTGAATGTTATACAATAAATTTCAAGTATCAGTTTTTGCTTTATGCATTTTGAGGCTACATCACTAAGGGCATATGAATTTGGAATTGCTATAGCCTCCAGGAGGATTAACCACTGTTAGGCTCTAAGCTGAGCTGCCAGATGTCTGAGTAGTCAATTAAAATGGTAAGATTTAAAGGTTAATATTAACTTTTTAACAGTCAAGCTTTTAATCACTTACTGTGATGCTATAAAGCAAGAGGCTAAACAAGAGAAAGTGCTAATGTCCCTGTTCTATTTTCTCCTCATGAAATGGTGCTGTTGGCCAAAGGTCAGGTCAATCAGCAAAATATGGTGCTCTCTTCACTATCAAGGGAGCTTCCCAAAAAGGTTCCTGCAGTATCATGGATCCAGTAGCCAAGGGTAAGCAGAAGGAGAAGAGCTAGGAGTGGGAAAGTAATTTGCTGGAGAAAAAGCAGTCTTCAAAGCCCCCCTCTTACCCCTGCTGAGGTGGTTTTAGTGGTTTAGAGGCACCTGAGAAAGGTCTCTGCTGAAGGCCTCCAAATGAAGAACCTGGGCTAGGAATGCAAGGGTGTGGCTGGCCAGCCAGACCTGAGTCACAACCACTACTCATTTCCAGGACTACAGTGCACTGGCCATACACCAAGTTGGATTGAGGGAAGGCAGCTTTCTCCAGTTAGGCCTATCAGATAAAGCCTTTGTAGCTGCACATGGTTGGGTCTAAAAAATTACACATAAGGTTTTAAACTAGGAGCTGGACTAGCAACCCTTTATCATTAAACAATATCTTTTATTT